CATTCACCTAATTATTTTGACTTAGTATCTCATTATTTTGAGATAGTGTCTCATTATTTTGACTAAGTAAGTCATTATTTTGAGATATAGTATCTCATTATTTTGACTTAGTGTCTCATTATTTTGACTTAGTATCTCATTATTTTGACTTAGTAAGTCATTACTTTTGACTTAGTATCTCATTATTTTGAGATATAGTATCTCATTATTTCGACTTAGTTTCTCATTATTTTGAGTTATTAGATCTTATTTTTTTCCATGAAGTGGCGGAAATGGGCTTCCATATCATACAGAATGTGGTGACGTGCTTGTTTTTCTTCCTTTTTTCTTTTTCTTGTTGTATTTGTTGTACTTTACATGTGGGGTTTTCATTGGTTGCTCTCTTGTAAATAAGATTTTCAATCTCAATGGGACTTCCTGCTTAAATAACGGTTAAAAAAATAAATAGAACAATAATAATAAAAATCAGCTGACTCTGTGTTGTGTTCACTGACAGCTCTGTCCTGACCTTCTCTAAAGCCCAGCAGCCATGCTTTGTTTAGAACAATTCCAGGGATGTGAGAATAAGTTGTGATGTGTGAAGAAGCCTGAATGGTGTTAAGCTGTACCTTGCAAGCTTCTTGACATTATTTATGTCCTCACCACTGTCACCCCAGCATTTAAGATAATAATACTCATACACTACACCTATATAGCGCTTTTCAAGCCACTCAAAGACGCTTTACAAATTCAAGGACACAACAGAAAAAAAACAACAGATAAGCAAGAGAGCAAATAAGGGATGAGGAGAAAAAAAACTGTCAGTGATTGAAAGCAGCACTGAACAGGTGAGTCAATGGAAAGAGAGGGGGAGTCTTGAATGGGTTTGGGGAGTGAGTTCCAGAGGGTGGGAGCAGCGATGGAGTGGCAGAGGGGAGTGTGATGATATAGGAGCTCAGACAGGTAGGGTGGAGCCTGGTTGATGAGGGCTTTGTATGTTGTGAGGAGAATTTTGAGGTGGATTCTCTGTGGGATGGGGAGCCAGTGGAGCTTATGGAGAACGTGGGTGATGTGGTCATGGGTGTGAGAGTGGGTGATTAGCTGAGCAGCAGAGTTCTGGATATGCTGGAGCTTAATGAAGGTTTTTGAAGATGAGCCATGGAGTAGACTGTTGAAGTAGTCCTGACGAGAGATGATGAAGGTGTGGGTGAGGGTTTATGCAGCTGAGCAGCAGAGGGATGGACGGGGGCGGGCGATGTTCTTGAGGTGAAAGATGGTATGTTGTGTCGCTTCTACCTTGCTGGATAAAGTATAAATAGGCTGTGCATCAACCTGAGGCAGTTAACATCTAGATGTGCATAAAGCAGGCTTGGATCATTCTCAATATCCACTTAGAGTTTAGAATCATAAAGTAGTTGGTTATACTTTGTTGATGCAGGTGGTAATTTCTGGTGTTAAACAGTTCAAAAGAAAACTAAACGTCTCGGTTAAAACTGGGTGTAAACTTTGTTTTTAGACTACTAGCTACATATATCTTTAGTTCCAACAGTGATTTCTGTTTCAGTGTTTGGACCTGCTCTATACTGAAAGAGTGTGCTACAGTACTGCTGTTCAGGTAAAACCACAATAAATAACAAACACAATAAAATTTGTCATTAGTTTCCTTCATTTCATTCCAACTAGTCCATACCATAGACTGTATACATAATGAACGCAGAACTGAATGTCGAACTAATAAGAACTAATGTAAAACTAATGTAGAATGTTCTGATTTGAGTCGTCAGGACAGAGCTGTCAGTGAACACAACACAGTCAGCTGATTTTATTATTATAATTATTATTATTATTATTATTATTATGATCAATTAACCTTTATTTAACCAGGAAGTCCCACTGGGAGTGAAAATCTCTTTTACAAGAGAGACCAGGCCAAGGTAGCAGCCAATCAAATCACATTTAAAGTGAATGGTCATCATTGACAAACCAAATCATAAAGAACGCAGTGATGAGTAAGGGACTTTGCATTTGTAATAAAACATAGAGATCCATATTATATTAAATCAGGGCTATGTAAAACGGAGGAGGCTGCATGCATCTTACCTACTTCCAACGTTTTTTGCCCCATGTAGAATAATGGATGAAAAGTTTAAATTCTGAACATTTTAACACTGACACTGCATCACCTGTTACACGTCAGTGTGACTACAAGCCTACCTGGTATTAGCATGCGTCTCAGTTGATCCAGCCACAAGCTGACAGCTCCAAACCCAAGTGTAAACAACCACCAAACTAGACACATTGTAGAAAGCTGACAGCAATGGTCACATAATTTTGCACCATGACATCAGTGTCACAGTGGTACTTTTAAATATCCCTTTTACTGGCCCGTTGTGGCTACACCTTTTGACAAATAAAGGGTTGTCTGCAATAGAGGCCTGGTCTGGTTGCCAAGCAGTTAATTTTTGTAATAGGAGTTCTTTGGATGTATAAAACTGGGTTGTTGGTCAAATTAGGTGTCCATTCCTCTTTTACCCTGTAAGTTATTCATATTCCTTTAGTCCATACGGGTCCTCAGATCCAAAGAATCAAAAGTGTTTTTAATAAAAATTCATACAAGTTTTGAGTATTGTTTTAACAGGATAAACTGGTGTGTGTTCGAAGGCCTGTCCCAAATATAGGCCTGTTGACTTCAGTGATTTAAGTAATAATAACCCGGGCTATTAACTGAAGTTTTACAGTATTTAATATAGTTCTATGTAATTTTTTTCTGCCTATTTCTTTCTTTACAAACATAATTTAATAAGCAGTGTAACTGTCATGGCTGGCCCCTCCACATTATTACAGGCATTTGATTTTGTTCTGTCTTTACCAGAGGGCCAAGGGATAAAATGTACTGACTGTAATGACTCAGTATGACCAGCAGAGGCTGCTAATTAGGGCTGGGCATTGCCACTGATTTCCTGAATCGATTTGATTCCAATTCAAAGGGTCCCGATTCGATCCAATATCGATTCGACTGCTGATTTTTCAGTTACAGTACCAATTTTTGCTGGAATGCAAAAGAAATTCTAAGAGAACTAATAGAGTAACAATTACAAGGAATTATTTTTTAAAAGAATGAATTGACAACAGGATTAAAACTGAACATTTTATGACTAAACGTTTCTAGACCAGCAACAGTAATATTAAAACAGCAAAGTCACAATATAAACTTCATCTCACTGGAAAACAAAATGAAAATGTTCATAAAATAAATCATATTCCTGAAATCACAATTCCACTGCGGCGTCTTTACTCCATGTTTTTGTGTGTGTGTGTGTGTGTGTGTGTGTGCGTGCGCGTAAAAGTGGCGCAGCAGCCAGGACACACAGACAGTAGTATAATAAATTACACCCAACTGTAAAAAAGTAAGCTAACAGTTACAGATAAAAGAGCCAGTGACGTCGGAGCTTCCCAAAACTATGATCATTTATGACTTAGTGCTGCGGCTCATTTTCTACCAGCGTTAAAGCTTCACACATCCGTGGGAAAAAGTGCATACTAGAAGATCAATCTCGGATTTTACGAATCAATATCGGGTCATTCCAGTGAAGATCAATTTGAATCGGATGAATTGATTATTTTAACCCAGCCCTACTGTTAATACTGTAATTTATTAAAAACCACACTCAGCAGATGAAGCACAGTTTACCAAAGCAGAAAACCAAAGGTTAAGAACAGATATTTCCATAAATCATTTAAGGGGCGCTCTTTTGAAGAAAGAAAGTGCTGATTTGGTTGCCAGGGGTTGTTCTGGCTTTTACTCAGAGACTACAATCGTTCTAATAGAAAGCCTGTATTACAAACCGAGCATGCAACAAAGTCAGGATGTCAGAACATGAGGTTTTATCAGCCTGCGGAAATTGTTTCACCAAAAAAGGAGAATAAAATCCATCTGTTTATCTAAAGCATTTACACATATATGGGTTCTAGCTGAAAAATGAAATTATCCTCTTTTTAGCATGAAGGCCCCAACATATGGATCAGTAATCCTTCTTTCTTGTGATAGTTTTTGTCTTACAAATCATAAAGCCTGGGATAGATGGACACAGCCAAAATAACTTTCTCTTCCATTTTCTTGGTTTCTTGGTTGTCAGGGTGATGAGTCCCGCCCCATGTGATTGGTTGCCTGAATAGGTGTGGCTGGTGACATCACCAGTGCCTTTCTGAAAAGTTCTGAGATTTTTAACTTTAATACTCGAGGTGGTCGCACAAAAACGTTGGAGCGCTCTTTTCTTATAAGAAAATTACATTAATTTAAAAAAGATGCCAGCACTGGGGGGGGGGTGGGGGGAGCATGTGGACACAACTCATCAAGTAATCCACTGAATACAAGTGATAAATGCATTTATTTTACTCACATGGCTATTGCATTTCCTCAGTGTACTTTAGGGCTGCCACAACAATTGCGTACAGTGTGTGAATTTCATTTTTGAAAGCTGTATGATGATATGTGGGAAAACTAGTGATCATCTATGCTTTCTTAAATACAGTGTGATGACACACTAAATATGTAACAGCCACGACAACGTTGTGACGGCTGGTGATGTTTTCAGCCCGTCAGTCAGTATGTGCATGCGTCATAATGGTTTAACATGGTCCAGGTGACACCAACTGTAGCAGGAACTACCACAGAAACCATTTTGAGTATTTTGACAGGTGTTCCGGTGTCTGTTGGTCTGTCTGTTGACAGATTTATTTTCAAGACAATAGCATGACAACTGTACCAGATGTAGTCGCTAAAATTTGCAGGTTTATAGCGATCAAAGTTAACGTCGAGTTCAAAGATGGGTGTGATCTGAACAAGGGGGCTAGGAGTAGGGAACAGAAGCAGGGTATGGGACCATTGCCCGCCTGACGTTACTCCCCGGCTCAGGAAACTTTACAGATATGCAGCTGAGATCACAATGAAGGCAATGTTCATAACATACCTATATAATAAAATCTGTCGGATTATTTCACATAATGGTCAAATAACAATATTGTGTATTTATTCATATGTTTATTTATTTCAGTGTCTTTCATTTAATCTTACACAGTACAAACATGCATAAGTTTTGCAAAGCCAGGTTTTGAACACGTTACATATACTTTATACAGGAATTTCATCTACTAAACTCAACTAAAAGTCATGCAGTGAAGCCTCACATGATGACATAATACTGATATATTAGTGTCAACTGATGAATGAATGAATCAATCAATCATTCAATCAATTGCCACATCAAATCATAACACTCCAGTGAAATGCCTTCCCGTCAGTTCCTTCAACTTGTGCATTGAAATATAATACTTTTTTGTCTCCTCTTACATTGTAGTAAGAAGAGGCTGCTGTGCATGTGTTTATAGAATACCTTAGGTTTAACATAGCTTACTTACACATACATGTGTATAAAAATGTAACACTGTGCAGGAGAGGTTAGAAGCCAAAAATGATTCATGAAGATAAACAAAGACTGCATAATTCATCAAACTTTCTTTTTTGTCATGCTTTGACCAAGGTTTGTGTCAGCAGAATGTTGGACTACAGGTCGCTGAGGAAGTCGTCTCCAAAGGTAATCATCTGTCTCAGTGCGCTCATTATCAGTGCATTCATGTCATCACTGAAGTTGGGATCTGGATCATAGTTCTTCACAAGAAAGATGCTGTTTAGTGGAATGCCCAGCAACGTGTTTACTTTGTCGACCTGAGTATGGAAGGAACAGTATTTTAGTTCATCAGTAAATCACAGAGTGACGACCACAAGAGATTTTTGTTTGGAAATACTGAGACTGAAGTTGGATATTAAATTCTAACATTAAAAGTCTAAAAATGATTTTAAAAAACCCAAATACAAACTTACCTGTTCCTTCAGGTAGATGCTCTTATAGGCATTGTTTACATTTTTCCCCACCTCAGGACAGGCTATATCAACTTTGGTGAGAATAGCCAGCTGGGGAATATCTGTCAACGCAGAAACCTAATCAGTATTTTAAGCATTTGTTTTGCTGGTATTTTGAGTCATAAAACCCCACCTGGCACCATTATTCCACACAGAGCAATAACTATGTGCTGTCTGCTCTTACCCAGTTGACTGGCTGCCAGTCGCACTTCTCTCATCTTCTTCACCACTTTATCATCTACTAAAGAGACTTTGTCAGCAGGAATGACACAAACTAGAACGTGAACTCTGTCACACGGAGTGGGATATGACCTGTAACCTTCATCACCCTCCTTCAACCGTTGTGTGGGATTGAACTAGACAATAAGAATGCAGTCAAATAATGTTTTGTATGAGCAATGCAATGCATTTTTTAAAAAAACTGTTTCATGCAAAATAGTGAGAAAAAAAAGGATAACTTAAAGGTACCCTGTGGAGTTTATGACCTGAAACAATGCAGTTACTGAAATAGTGTGGGTCCTGTTTTGTTTGTCTCAATATGCATTCCTGCCAATGGTTTCACATTCTTCCCCTGATCTACAGGTGGCAGTAATGTATCAGAAATGCAGAAATGCAAAGGCAGGAAAGAAGAAGACTTCTTGCTGTGGTAGTTAGGGAATGAGGTAAAAAAAAAAATGCATTTGTCAGATCTCAAGGATACACACATTGGCTCTCTTTCATCAGTCTATCTTACAGACTAGCGCAGATCCAAATGCAGAAATCATCTTATGACAGGGGTCATGACGTTGACCCTTTTCTTTTTTTTCTCAGTTTCTTCTCAAACTCACTAAACTCCTCACTTCCTAAAAATATTTATCATCCCAATGTTGACACACACACACACACACACACGCACATATGCACACAACAAACAAACAGACACACGCACATATCCAGCTGTTCATACCGCTTTGCAGTATACTTGTGTTGTATGCCCATCAGTTTCAGCATGTGCTCGACTTCTTGTTTGTGTTACATTGTTTTATTTTGTTCTGATGTATTTACTTGGTTTTTATTTTTATTGTATGTCTCTTTCTTACTTTATGTAATCTTATCTGTCTATACAGTATGTCTCTACACCTGTTTTCACTTTATCTGTTAGCAGGTCTGCTTCATTTTGGGCATAACAAGTGGTGGAGGAGACACAGACACACCTTCTGTGTCCGAATTAATCACCTAGGCTACTAGTATTTAAATAATTACACTGTTGGGAGTGTTTCTTTGTTTTTTAAGATGTTTCAATGTAAAATGATGTAACCATGCTTTCAGATAGAGCAGGGCACAGGTGGTGGTGACCATACTTTTTAAGGTGATTAATACACTATGTGGCTACAAATATTTAGATGTCAGTAAAAAAAATGGTCTAATCACAATTTTTCAACTCAGCCAGACTAACTGTGCTGCACTGCAAGACCATGCTGACTCAAACTTGTGTACACGAGCTGAGACCTGACGTATGTTTGAGTGAGTAAGACTGAATGTACATGTAATTTTTTTTTTTTCACAACAAAACTCCACAGGGCCCCTTTAATCACATCAGAGTTCAAAGTACTGTACCTGATGATTTTCTTCCACATGTCCTTTCAGGGCCAGTATGACATCGTCCACATCAACTCCTCTGTCAGTGTCTTTCTCAAAGCCCATGATGTCACTGAAGACGAAAGGATAATGGCTCCCTTGACCTTTTCTGATCTTGTAAGTTTTGTACTGTTAAGCAGAAGGTGCAATTATTTGCATTATTTTAACAAATCTAAGATAAATATACACAATTAACTGTAATTGCTTAATTTTACTCAGCAAAGAAACCCACATTGACAAAATCATTTTCTTGGTGAGGTACAGAGGATGAGCTGATGAGTCTTAGAGCTATTGGAAGGAAGCTGCTCAGTAATCTGGTGGTACGTCAGCAGATACTTTTGTATCACTTGCCAGACAGCAGCAGGGCAAACATACTGTTAGCGTGGTAGGTATCCTTCCCCTGTGCAGGCACACCATCTTACTGATATCACTAGTGCTCAGTTTTGTTCTGGGTGGTTTTAATCAATTAAACACTGTTAACATTCAGAGTATATATGGATTACTTTGCTAGGATTTGATGTTTCTGCACACATTTCATTTATTCTAGCTTGTGCTGATTATAATTTCATGTGTTTTTTTATTTTCTTACTCTAAACACATAAGCAATGTTTGAAAAAAAACGTGCAACTAAACTGTGATTATCATAGGAAATGCGTTAATGTGGTTAGCAATCCAAGATGCTATTTTATCCACTTTCATCAAGTTATTGATAAGTATTAATAATAATTAATATAGACTTTGAAGAACTGTGGAAGATTTTTGCTTTGAATCACAACAATCAACAGTAATAAATACCTTTTTGGTGTAGCTGCTCCCAGAGATTGCATCTGTTGGAGCTCGACCAGCAATTCTGCCTTGTAAAACAGTGTCAACAGAGTTGATAAAACTGGACTTGCCGGCACCAACTGGTCCATAGAGAAGAATTCTGAGATGACTGATGTCTTGGTTCCACAGTTGGTATGATTTCACAAAATTGAGATCTTCCTCTTTGTTCCTGTTTCATGATGGAAAATCGTTGCATTAAAACACTGTGTTATTTTTATTTTTAAATCCATTAGCCACATTGTGATTGCTGCTCTGTTGTCGCACACATCAACCAGTCAACACAGCAACAAAACACTTCAGTGATATGTCAAGGAGCAGAGCCACACATCGAGGCCAAAATGGCACCACACAGATTTTATATAATACTCACTGCGGCAGATTCCTCCATGGCGCACTCAAAAGTGCTGAAGAGCAAATAACATATGTTACCACACAGTAAGACAAAGCTGTATTTTAATTTCAACACATCAATTATTATTCACAAATATTATCATTCTGAAGATTTAAATAACTTTTGCAATATTTGGAACATCATACGCTGAGGTGGACTTGGAGGTGGACTTGGTGATGAATTTCCTCCCCCCATAGCTGTAAAGAAGGACATTTACATGTAAATGTGCATGGATTCAAATAAGAAAATCTGGAGAAATGACTTTTGTTATTTCCTAAAATCAAATGCTAACATAAGTTGGAGACTCTTATCTAAGTATTAAAATGTTTATTTAATTTTTAAAGTGACATAAATAACATAAATTACATACTAGAGAATGATAACAGGAGACAAGGAGGTAAAACCATTACTTAATAACAATTATTTTTTTCTTTTACATATTTACTGAACATTATAGTAATAACTGTCCTGACTTTTATTATTTATTCAAATTTGGAGGCTATACTTTGAAATACTTGAATTATGTCTATAATTAAAGTGTTTTTCTGTATAGTGTAAATGTCATAAAAAGACAAGTAATGAATCTAAGCAATTAAATAAAATAAGTAAAACATTAACAATAGGTCAAAGTCAGGATTGAGGTTTCATTTCCTTTCAATTTCTTGCTCTACAGAACATTTACAACTTTGAGAAAAGAATAATAATAACACCATAAGAGTAACTATACTACTACGATTTGTATTCTGTTACTGAGCACACAAATCATCACATAATAAACAAAGTGCACTTTTGCTTCCCAATCAGAAGAGCATATTAAACTGAAGACAGGCATAACAGAAAGCTCTTACCTTTATGTAGCTGCTCTGGACACAGTGACACTGCAGTATTAAGAGGAGCATCTTTTTATAGGTTCTCCTCTTGCTTTCACTTTCAGCAAACCACATGTCTTACAGGAAATCTTCACTCTTATTTACCAAGTCTAATGGACTGTTTGTTATTTATAAGTGGGGTGGCTCCAATGATAGGGAGAAAGGGAGGGAAGATGTCCTCCTGCCTTTACTTTCATTTTCCAGCAAAACATGTAACATAAAACAAACTTTCACTTTTCTTGACCAATAATATTAGAACTCATTAAAACGTTACTTTTGTTGTCACTGCTGACTTGTACTACAACATCACATCAGTGGACTCATTTCCTTTCTTCCTTGCGCAACAAAGCACATGATTAGGTTTAGAAATGTCATATGACATACGTCACTACTGTAGCACGCTAATCATTCTAGCACACTATGTTTTTATTAAAATAAGTCCACTGACATTTGGTTTCACCCAGGCCTCCTGTGTGAGAGTCCAGGGTTTGATGGACCCATCCACCTTCCCTCCCACCCACCCTTAAGGAACTATCTTATAGCTCCTTATAGGGGCAAAAAGTGAAATCGTTTCACTGCTAGGTTTGCTGTTGTGCACTGCCTGTACACCAAAACAAGTGTGTCATGAGCCACTCCTCCCTCTACCTCTGCTCTCCAACCCCACCCCCCATCCTCCACTCACCTCGTCTAAACTTAGTTTAGCAGTTAGCGATGTCTTTCACTCACTCTCGGTCTCTGCTGTGTTTAGCTATTCCCCTGCCTACTTCAATGATGATGGTTCCTGTAATAAATGTAATATATTTGCTGAAATGGAGGCGAGGCTCAGTGACTAGAAGAGCTGGTAGAAGCGCTCCATAGCTGTAAGTTACTCCAGCAGCCGGAGGCAGCCAACTTGGCTAGAGCTATCGCCGGATCCCGGCTAGTGCTAACACCGGGAGCTAACGCTAACGTTCCTACTCTTCTCCATGAGTGAGAGCGATGTTTTAGCCTGGCTACATTTTACAATGCTAATTGCAAATGTTAGCTGGGCTGCCAGGCTACTCACCTAACACAACCGTAACGCCTGACCCATTGCTGGGACCGAGCCGCTAATAACTCAAGCTCCGGACATTAACCCATGCTACGATTGTAACATTAAATTTAATTGAATCAACATAGCGACATGTGCCTAACGTTACTGTAACACTAATTAAAACAGACATTTGACTTAATGTTGTTACTTAACTGTTACCTGTCCAGGAGAAGAAGAGCTAGCTCCGAGTCAGATTGTAGCCCCTTTAGCTCTCGCAGTGCTCTCCACCTTGGAAACGCAAGGCCAATGTTAATCCGGGTTCTGTCCCTTTCTTTATCCGACAACTTCTTCACCAACGACCGTTGTTTCTTTAGAGGTAGTGTCAGATCCTGGTCATCTTCAGGTGAAAGTTTCGTTCCACTCTCCGCCATTTCACTTTGAAAATACGCGCTGCCATTGCTCACTGGCTGTAGCCTTTTATAGGGAGGGAGGGCCAAGGGCTCCGAGAGGAGGGAGGAGGCGGCGATTCACATGAACGTACATGAAGGCGCAGCCGGACCGGCTTGTAAACAAGGGGCTGGAGATCAACACAGAGAGAGGGTGTGTGAGGTCATGCTATACTCCAGATGAAATTACACCTCTAGTTCTTCACATAGCGATTTTTTAATTCCTTCAATCAAGAAATGATGAATTTCTTCTTATTGCCCCTTTAAATTAGGTTGTTGCCACTGGCATAATGCTGTGAAAGGTGCCTTTGTGCATCAGTATTTTATGCAGATGTCCACTGACATACCACCAGTATCTCATAACTTCGGTTGGTGGACAGTGCGTCAACAACAAAGCTATGGTAGCTGAATAAAAATGGGCTGTTTTTTCAATAACAGGAAGAACTTCTTTTTTTTTAACTAAATGTCACACTGAACTCAAAAGCATATGTTGGAGCCTCACATTATTTATTATGCTGATATAAATTATATACAGACTGCAGAGTGCTTGAAAATTAAATCTTTATTGGCCAAGGATGTGTGCTCAACACATACTGTAGGTCTACACGGATTTTGGCTCTAATTGTAAGCTGGTCTCAGTATACTTATAAATCCAAAAACAATTTACATTAAGCTACAAACACATACAGCTAAACAAACAAAAAACAAAGAAAAGATAAAAATATAATGTACATAAAAGTTGGTGAAAAATGGATGTGTATAGAAATATACTGTAGGCCTATATAAAAACAGTGACAAGCATAATATATCATCAAAATGTACCCTGCATGTAAAACGTTTTTTTAAAGAGGCCATTTTTTCACGTCTTGATAATACAGTGTTTATGTCAGCAGTATGTAGGTCTAGGTTGGAGGTAGGTTGTTGAGGAAGTCTTCTCCAAAGGTTAACATCTGTCTCAGTGCGCTCAGTGTCAGCACATCAATGCCATCATTCGGGGTGACTTCTGAATCATAATTCTTCACAAGAAAGATGCAGTTTGGTGGAATGCCCAGCAACATGCTGAATTTGCCGACCTGAGTAACAGAATTTCAGTCGATCAGTAAAAGCAGAGTGGAGACCAAAGAAGATTTTTGTGCTGACTTTGTGGAAACCGAACCAAAATTACATTTCAATGTTTTAAAAGTCCACTGTGTAGGATTTAGGGGGATATATTTATCATATATATGTTTTGGAGAGGACGAGACCTTTGTGGATAATTCAGCTTCTGAAAAAAACTGCCAATAATCCCCACTAAAAATTACTCCTTTAAATCTGACAACAGTTACCCACCTGTTTCTTTAAATGCTTGTTCTTGTAGCCTTTGTTTACATCTTTTTTGACCTTAGGACAGGTTTCATCAACTTTGGTGAGAATAGCCAGTTGGGGAATCCCTGTAAACACAGAAACCCAATCAACATTTTAAACATTTTTTTGCTGGTATTTTGAGTCATGAAATCTCTGGCACCATTTTTCCAAACAGGGTTATAAAGACTGCCATGTCTTCTCTTACCCATTTCACTGGCTGCTAGTCTGACTTCTCTCATCTTCTTCACAACATCTTCACTTAGTAAAGACACTGAGTTGGCAGGAATGACACAAACCAAAACGTGAACTCTGTCCTCCAAAGTGGGAGATGACCTGTAGCCTTGATCACTGCCCTGCAATGGGCTTTCAGGAAGGAACTAGAAAACAATTTAAAACCATTAACTACTAACTGTTATTTGGCACAATACAATGCATATTTGGGTTAAAAAGGTGTTAAATGCCAAAGAATAAAAAAAGGAGATATCTTAAATAGTGACAGAGTTCAAAGGATTTTACCTTGTAACCGTCTTTCACATGTCCCTTCAAGGCCAGTATGACATCTGCCACACTCACTCCAGTGTTAGTCTTTTGCTCAAAGCCCATGATGTCATTAAAAATGAAAGAATAGTAGCTCTCATGGTCTTTGTGGATTTTATAAGCTGTGTACTGTAGAAAAGAAGGTTTAGTTATTTGCATCATTTTAGCAAATCCCAGACATAATTTCAATATCCTCCTGAGTCCCTGTGTTCTCATATGAGGACATCACATTTCGGGTTTACTTGACAGTACACTTCATTCTGCTTAACTCAGACCTGTTGTCCTCAATTGTGGACACTTTTTTGTGCCATCTAGTGGTAGTGAGACCACAATACACTAATCCATGTAAAAACAAGATGGCAGCCATCTCTGCCCAGTCAGTCTGCAGCTGATTCCGACACAAAGGTGGACAAAGTCCAAAACCTGATCACATTTATGGCTGAAACTTGTTTATCTATGATAAGTCATGTTTGTAGTTTGATATGGCAACAAATTTTTACCAATTTTAGCAACAGTAACAAGCTAAGACACTGTTTATTATAAAGTATTCATTTGAAGACATTGGGAGTTTATTGTCGTCTCGTTTGAAGACATCAGGACTTTATTGTTGTCTCATTTGAGGACACTGGGACTTTATTACTGTTGACAATATTTAATTTGTTATACCTATCAGGTCCTACTAATCCCAAATAGCTAGGACAAATTGAAAATGCATACCAAACAAAAGTTCGGGTCTCAGGAGAATATGTAAAATCAACCTTAAAATGTTAGCCCTTGGTTTTAAACATTAGTTCCTATGCCTCAGATTTACTCTTGTTATGTTGCTCATTAGGCTATATCTAACGTTATAGATAAAAATCTATATTATTTTGGCGTGAGTTGCAGAGTGTTGGAGATATTGGCCATAGAGTTGTCTGCTTTCTTTTGAACAACTGAACTAGATGGCACTCAGCTTGTGGTGCTCAAAGTGCCAAAATATGAGTTTGAGTTTGAGGTGAGATTTCCAAAATGTATTTGGAAAACTCAACAGTAATGTCTCTTTCCAGAAATCATGAATTATTTACTCAACATAATCCAGTTGGATGTTGGGAGGGACCAACCCAAAGTTTTGGATCAGCCATTACCACATTAAAATAAAGCACAATGTTCTCAGAGCTGAGGCTGTGAGCAACATTCACCTGACACAGTCTGTATACAAGCATGCTTTGTCAAAATGAAACAGAAAGTATTTCTATAAATTTTTTAGTGTTAACTCTTTAACCAGCAGCTGCATGTTGGGTGTTCCGTAAAACACAAGACATAGAGTGGTAAGGACTGTGCACCACAGACAGCGCACACTCTGTGTGTGCATTTTGACCAGCAACATGATGATGACCTGGCCAGTTCCCAGCAACACAGTTCAGTACTATCACCTTATTGGTTTATCTTGTCTCAATATTTCATTCACGTTTTTGATTATGTATATTTTTACTTCCGAATTCCCACAAATGTCAAACACATTTTAAATTAAATTTGCTCAGTTTTCACTGAGAACAATGTACCCTCTAATTTTGAAAACTCCTGAGCAGACATTCAACTCCTCTGATCACCTACTTGAGTGACCGTGGACGACATCTGACACGTACACACTACGTCCACACTGCGGTGCCATGGGTTCAATCCCAAGCCCCTGCTTGCGTCTCTTTACAGTTTCCACAGCATTTAAATGCCCTTT